AAACAGTAATGTTCAGAAAATTTGTTATAAAGAAATATTACTTTATATGAAAAGTGCTGTCTAGACAGTACATAAAGATAACATTAATGTACTTGATAACAAGGCTGTCCAGACAGTTCTTTATCAATTTAATATTATTCTACTTGAAAAGAGGAATGTCGAGACAGTTCTGTATAAAATAAAGAACATTACTGGACATTATTGTTTTCAAGTAAAATAATGTTTATTTCTAAATAACCGTCAATACATTACAGTTATATACTATTTCATATATATACTGTTTAGAAAATACTGATTTGAACTAAAATAATATTTCTTTATAAACAACTGTATGTACAGAACTATTTTCAAGTAGAATAATGTTTCATTATTATAAGTTGTCAGTATATTACCATTTAACTTTTGTTAATACTTTTTTAAAAGAACTCTCTGAACAATACATTTTCCAAGTAGAATAATATTAAATTTACAAAGAACTGTCTGGACAGCCCTGTTTTCAAGTACATTAATGTTATCTTTATGAAGTATTGTCTAGACAGCACTTTTTCAAGTAAAGTAATATTTATTTATAACAAATTGTCTGAACATTATTGTTTTCAAGTAGAATAACGTATCTTCTGGATATTACTGTTTTCAACTAGTGTAGTATTTCTCTATAAAGTAGTGTCAGCACAACACTGTTTTCAAGTAGAATAATGTTTCTTCACAAAGAACTGTCTCGACAGCACTTTTTTCAAGTACACTAATATTCCTTTATAAACAACTGTCTGAACATTATTGTTTCCAAAAAGTTAAATGTTTGTTTATGAAGAACTATTTGGACATTACTGTTGTTAAGTAGGGTAATGTGTATCAAAGTTCTTTATTAAGATACTTATTCTACTTGAAATCAGTGCTGTTCAGACGGTTCCTTATAAAGTTAATATTATTCTACTTCAAAAGAGCAGTATCGAGACAGTTCGTTATAAGAAATATTAGACACTACTAATGTCTAGACGGTTCTTTAAATTTAAACGGTACTCTACTTTAAAACAGTAATGTCCAGACTGTTCTTTATAAAAATAAAATATTCTACTTTAAAACAGTAATGTTCTGACAATTTTTTATAAATAAATATTACTTTACTTGAAAAAGTGTTATCTAGACAGTACTTTATAAAGCTAACATTAATGTACTTGAAAACAGTATTATTCAGATTGTTCTTTAATAAGATACGTTATTCCAGACAGTTCTTTATAAAGAAATATTAGCAAACAGTAATGTCTAGACGGTTTTTTTTAAAAACAAACACTATTCTACTTGAAAACAGTGATGTCCAAACAGTTCTTTATAACGAAATATTACACTGTTGAAAACACTAATGTCCAGGCAGTTCTTTATAAAAAAAATATTATTGAAATTAAAAACAGTGTTTTATAAAAGGCATTACTCTACTTGAAAACAGTAATATCCCATCATTCTTTGCAAAGGAACATTTTTCTACTTATGAACCATAATGCTCAGACATTTCTTGATAAAGAAACATTGTTCTACTTGAAAACAGTAATGTCCAGAAAGTTCTTTATTAACATACGTTATTCTACTTGAAAACAGAGCTGTCCAGGTAGTTCCTTATAAATTTAATATTATTTTACTTGAAAAGAGCAATGCCCAGACATTTCTTTATAAAGAAACATATATAAAATAGTTCTATCGAGACAGTTTTCTATAGAGAAACATTATTCTACTTGAAAATAGTAATGTGCAGACAATTCTTTACAAATAAACTTTATCCAATTTGAAAACAGTAATATCCAGTCAGGTCTTTATAAAGTAACATTACTCTACCTGATAACACTAATGTGCAGAAAGTTCTTTATAAAGATAACATTACTGTTCTTGAAAATAGTAATGTCCAGACAGCTCTTTATCAAAAAACATGATTCAACTTGAAAGCAGTGTTTTATGAAAATTATTACTCTACTTAAAAACAGTAATATCCAGACATTCTTTGTAAAAAAAACATTTTTTCTACTTGTGAACGGTAATGCTCAGACATTCCTTTATAAAGAAACAAAGTTCTACTTGAAAACGGTGCTGTCTATACAGTTCTTTATAGAGGAACATTATTCTACTTGAAAACAGTAATGTCCAGATAGTTCTTTATAAAGTAATTTTACTCTTCTTGAAAACAGTGCTTTATAAGGATAGTAATATTAAAACTTGTCGTTATTACCAGAGTCTTTTGATGCTGAAGAACAAGCGATAATCAGCGTGTAATTACGGATAGCCTGAAAAGTACAACCTAGGATGGTCTTAATCATAAAACCATGTAAAGAGGTAGTCATGGAAATATAAGGACCAACATTCGTTTTGTATTTGTCAAGAGGAAGATGTTACTGTTTTTTGTTTCGTGTATTTTAACTTTTTTCTCAACTGACAGGTAATCTCTACCATTATAGCGGGGAATATTTGACTGTTTTCGCCTTTTTCGGATCTATCATGCTTTGCAGTGCATTGATCACCATAGGCGGAGTGATATGATGAGAGGACTGACATCTTGAAAGGAAAAGAAAATAACTACGTGTAACCTTATTTTGTTTTAGGGTGAATTATAATAGATTATCTAGTAATGCCAGAAACTTTGCTTTAAGATTATGAAGCGCCTAAATGCTTATTTTTGTAAAAGAGACGTCATAAAACAGTTACTATGTGTTCCTTAATTGTTATGTCTTCTTTTTATAGCTTAAAGTTGTATTAATAAATGGTTGAGTATGTTTGTTAAGGATTTTCATTGTTGTTGTAAGGTATATTCTATAATGATAAGCCCCCAATGGCACAGCGGTAAGTCTGCGGACTTACAACGCTAGAATCCGGGTTTCGATACCCATGGTGGGAAGAGCACAGATAGCCCATTGTGTAGCTTTGTGCTTAATCACAAACAAACAAACAAACTGTAATGATAAAGAGTAAATATGTTGGATTTATATAACATGAAATAATATTCACCTTATTTATAATTAAAGGTCTCATTAAAATTATGACTGTCAACTCTTTTCGGATATAAACTATGTTTATTTGTGAAAAATGTATTTGATGCTTTAGTGAACTATTAAGGTTAAATGTTATGGTCTAATATAATTTCTGGTTTGTCAACAAATATTTAGTACATACGTTTTAATCATTATAAAGTGACATATCATTACAAACTAGAAAAAATATAGTTTATCGAAAAGGAGCATGTCTGTATGTTAAGTTAAACACTTTCTAATTCCAGACCTTCAAATGCTATTGACCTTTTATTCTGCCAGCTTTAAGTATAGACTGGGTATTTGGTCATGTGACGAACTTTCCTGTCCTTTGTACTTCCTAACAATCAAAGTTTATCAGCACCATTTGAGTTGGGCCTCTTAAACAGTATTAGTGTGAGTTAGAAATCTGTGCAAGATAATAGTTGTAGACGTTTTGATTTACACTTTAATATGGTTTGTTTGTAAGTTTTAATCTAAAACCACAAAGTTTTATGAATTAGAATTGTATAGTGTGTTTTGCACTTCAAGTGAATGTTCTATAGAAAATCATAAAATGGTAAGCGTTGTTACTTTATATAGTTTCTATAATAATAAAGTTAATGGTTAAAGAGTAAGTCATTCAGTTACCATATTTAGTTGTAGCAAATTGATTTACTATCGAGTTTATTAGCCATACGGTGAAACAGTAAGCTTCTATGTTAAATTATTGTATATTATCCGGAATTTTAAATAATCATGTTATCATGAAAAATCCATCCTTTCCAGGACGTTAATTGTAAAAAGTAT